TCGCTAAACCTGTGTTCTCTCTACTGGGGCACCAGGCTCCTTACAAGTTAATAAAGCAAGGCAGGAACAGATTGGGACATGGTGACAGTGATAAATAGAGAGGAGATGAAGGAGGGGGGTAGGTGGGTGGGTAAATGGATGGATGAATAAATGGATGGATGAGTGTATGGATAGGTGGGTGAGTGGGTGGATGGATGGATGGATGGATGAGTGGATAGATGAGTAGGCAGATGGATGGATGGGTGGATGGATGGATGGATGGATGGATGGATGGATGGATGGAAGAGTGGATAGATGGATGGATGGATGGATGGATGGATGGATGGATGGATGGATGAGTAGGCAGATAGATAGATGTGTGGGAGGATGGATGGATGGATGGATGAGTAGGCAGATGGGTGGGTGGGTGGGTGGGTGGATGGGTGGATGGGTGAATGGATGGATAAGTAGGCAGATAGAAGGATGGGTGTGGATGAATGGATGGGTGGGTGAATGGATGAGTAGATGGATGGGTGGATGGATGGGTGGGTGGATGGAAGGAGGGAGAGGTGTAGACGTGGAAGGAGATGATGCCTGGTAGACTTAGAAGATGGATTTGACATGACCCCATCCTTGAGGATCTCTCTGTCCGGAAGCTGTAGTGCTAAACGGAGCCAGCTGAGGAACTGAAATAGTCCAGTTTTCCAGCCACACCATAGTGCGTGTGATGATCAGCCAGACAAGCTGTGACTTGGACCCACACACCTAATTGCTCCAATAACAGGCCTTTATGTTCATTCATTAGACAGGCATTTACTGAGCACCTACTATGTACCAGACACTATGCTAGACTCTGGGGACAGTGTCATAAACAAAATAACTCCATGTGGAGCTTCCATGTGGAGACAAGGAGAGATGTAGATATGGGAGGAACCAACAGGGTCAGTACTATGGAGATAAGTAAAGCAGGTAACAAAGGGGGTCTGGGCCAGGGTTTGCTTTTTGGAATGACTGGGCAGAGCCTAGTCTGACACTTGGTGGGAGGCCTGAAGGAAGGGCGGGGGCCAGTCAGGCCTGGAAGTCAGGCTGGGATCTAGAAGAAGCAGTGACATTCCTAGGATCACACAGTAACTGGGCAGCTGGACGGGAACATTATGTGCAGGTGTTGGGGTTCTGGGGCTCCTGGTCTGACTCTAAAGCAGAGTGGAAACACCCCAGAAACGGTGTCAGCAGAGGGGACCTTGTCGGGATCTGGCCAGTGAGGAGCTGCGTGATCTTCATCTCTCTAAGCCCATTAGCCATCACTTTGCTGCTCCTGATGGATGGGTAGGCAGATGGGTGGGTGGGTAGATGGATAGATGGATGGATAGATGGATGGATGGATGGATGGATGGATAGATGGATGAGTAGGAAGATGGATAGATGGATGGATGGATGGATGGATGGATGGATGGATGGATGCATGGATGGGCAGATGGATGGATGGGTGGATGGATGATTGGATGGATGGGTAGGCAGATGGGTGGATGGGTTGGTGGATGGATGGATGGATGGACAGATGGATGGATGGGTGGGTGGATGGATGAGTTCACAGATATGATACTTCACCAGTGGTAAATGTTCGCTATTTTGTTATTTATGGAGGCAAATGCTAAGCCTCCAAAGAGAGCGAAGCACTGCAGTGACACAGGCCTGGACCCTCTCATTTCATGTTCTGGTGAAGGGGGCCCCTCCCCTCCAGCCAGGCCTGCCCGGGTACCCGAGCCCAGGACACTGGGGTTTGGTGGAGAGGGCAGCATCCCACACACAGGGTGGGGCAGGCAGGTGAGGCGTTTCCAGGTAAACCCCTCTGACCTGCTCCGCCCCCCACCCCACCCTCCGCTTCCTCCCGCACAGGGCGGGGCACCCAGGACGAAGGGAAGCCCCATGGTATACAAGCCTCAGGAGAGGCAGCATGTGCGAGGGGCTCACGAAGGTGAGTGAAGGACGGAATCGGTCCATCGCTCAACCACTCAGTCCTGGGGAACCTAATGCGTTCACTCCGACCGCAGCCACGCTGTTGCCAGCTCCACTCCCGTTCTCCGGGGGCCGGGAGCTCAGACTTCAGCAGCAAACGGTTTCAGTGTTAGCTGGTCCCTGTGAGCCGGATCTCCCTCCTGGTTCCCCTCAGCCCCCCGGCCTGCAGGCGGGACCAGAACACGTCTGAAATCTGTTCACGGGATGTACCCGTCTTCGCAGGGAAAGCACCGAACCCGCCGCTGGGCGTCAGAGGCCACGCGTCTCCTGCTCTTCTAGCTGCAGACGAGGTTCTGGCCAGAAGGGGGCTGAGGTCGCCCAAGGCCACGTAGCTGGCTCCAGGCCCAGCCAAGATCAGACTGTAGACCCCACTTTCCCCGGAGTCCCTTCTCAATCCAGAGCCCCTCTGGGCCTCCTCCAGCCGTCCCCCCATGGAACCACCCCCCCACAACCAGCCCAACTGCGACCTCCTCCAGCTGTCCCCCCATGGAGGACCCCCCCACACACACAACCAGCCCAACTGGGACCTTCTCCAGCCGTCCACCCATTGAGGACCCCTCCCCACAGCCAGCCCAACTATGTGATGCTGAGGCTCTGCTTCCCTTATGGCCGTGGTCAGCAAACTGTGGTCGGCAAACTGCGGCTCTTTGGCCCCTTGAGTGTGGCTCTTCCACAAAATACCACGGCCTGGGCGAGTCTATTTTGAAGAAGTGGCGTTAGAAGTTTACGTTGAAAAGTTTGGCTCTCCAAAGAAATTCCCATTGTACTGTTGACATTTGGCTCTGTGGACTGATGAGTTTGCCGACCACTGGCTTATGGGGTCCCTCAGGCCGGAAAAGCCATCTGGTCACACGGCCGGTGGGAGGCACAAGGCCGGTCCTGGGGTCAGGAGCTGCTGTAAGACCAAGACCCACAGAGCAGACGGCGTGGCTCTTGCCCACCCCACCCCAGACAGAGGCCTCCCGCGGAGCAGCAGGCCCACACGTGTGCGTGTGCGTGCGTGTGCGTGCGTGCGTGTGTGTGTGTGTGTGTGTGTGTGTGTGTGCGCCGAGCCTCCCGGAGTGAGAGGAACACGCCGCAAGCTGTCGGCAAGCCCTGCCAACGCGGAAAGGGTAGCAGCCGTACACAATGCCAGCAGACAGACCTCCGGCGGATTCCTTTGGTTTGTTTTTCGTGGTTATTTTTTTTTTTACAACTTTAAATACGGAATATAAATAAATTTTACATTTAAAAAATAAAAGGAAAGCCCCCAAAAATATAATCACCGACTTTACAAACTGAAGGAAGCAGAGTGGGGTGTGGGGGGGGGGGCGGGGAGGGGTGCAGTAGAAGATGGGAAGGGGGCTCAGAGCCCACACCTAGGGGGCCCGGGGATCATTCCCCTCCCCCCCCCCCACGCCAGCCACCGGAGATGGATCTGAGACGGGGGAGCGTGTCCCCTCCCCTGGAGCCAGTCCCTGGAGTTCCTCACATCTGCCTGGGGGCAGGCCTGCTGGAGCCGAGGGCGCGGGGAGACGGAGGCCAGATGGGTCTTTCCTCCGGCCCTCCACCCTGCGCTCACCCTGTCCGGCCTCTGCAAGCCGGGGGGGCGGGGGGGGGCACAGCAGCACACACGGAGCCTTTGTGACAATCAAGAAAAGGACCCCTTCCCTCAAGACACTATCCGCACCCCCCCCCCCCCCCCCGCCTGACGCCGTCATAATAAACGCCCAGATGGGCCGTGTCTGCAGTGTGACAGTGGTCCCGCCTGCGGTGGGCTGGGCAGTGCGCCCTGCAGGGCCTGGCGTGGCAGTGTGGGCTGGGCTGGGACGGGAGCAGGCCCTCGGGTCCCAGGAGCCGCGGGGAGGGGTGCTCCCTCGGTGGGCAGGAGGGAGATGCAGGGTGGAGGTAGAGAGGCGAAACAGAGGAGGAAGCGAGGGGGGAGTGGAGGAGGCAGTGGATGCCCAGGTCCCCGCCTACACCCACCTCCAGAGCAAACTTCATCTCGAAGCCATCGAAACGGCTCTGGGCTGCCTGGCGCCTGGGCCGCCCCTGCCCGGAGAGTCCGCATCTTCGAAGGTGTCAGATGTGTGAAAGGAAAGAACGCTGCCAGGCTGAGCACAGGGAAGGGGAGCGGTGGCTGGGCCAGGGCCTGGGGGAGGGGTCTCTCAGTCTGTGCTCCCCTCGCTGGCCTCAGCCACAGGCCACCAGGCGCTCTGGCTTGCCTGGCATGCTCCCACCAGAGCCGCCCAAGCCACAGGCGGGGTTCGGGGAGCCAGTCCAGTCCGCAGTGCTCCGGGGAGGCCTGGCCAGGAAGCCCCTCCCCTGTCAGTCTCTCTCGCGCTCTGATCCCAGGTCCTCGGGGTCGGAGGGAGGAAGACCTCGATGGAGTCCAGATCCTTCATTTCCTTCTCGAGCTTCCGGGCAAGACGCTGGAGGCCACTGAGGGGAGACCCGCTGGCAGAGGGGCGGACGGACGACGGACGGACACGTGGAGGGGCGGGGAAGCACCATTGGCCGTCCGAATCAGGCATCGAGACAGACGGACGAGGGGAACAATATTATCACTCCAAGGACCCCATGGGGGCGATACAGCAAATACCTTATTAAATAACCCTGGAAGCCAAGCAGAGGGACACGGGGCTCAGAGACAGGCCACACACACATGCCACGAGCACATGCTCCCGGGCTGGGGGCAGGGAGCTGGGGTCCACTGGTCGTCCCTGGTCTCCAGCAGCGCTGGGGGCCGGACAGCTGAGGTTTAAGTGGCCTATCCTCTGAGGACACGCAGGGACAGAGCTGGGCTGGGGTCTCCAAACCTCCCGCCCACCTGCCCCGTGGAAAAACCCCCTTGACAACGGGGCAGAAGCGGTCAAAGCTTCGGGCCCACATGCTGCATGGGAAAATGCCTCCCCTCACCCCTCCCACAGCCCAAGCCCAGGCACAGGAGTGTGGGCCCCGCCTCCCCACCTGCCATCACCCGCCCGCCCGCCTGCCCTTACCTGCCCGCGCTCTCTGCAGACGCCCTAGGCGCCCAGGGTCTCCTTCAGCACCCTCTTGTCGTGCGTGTGCTTGAACTTCCTGTGCTTCCCCTTGGGGGGCCTGCGGACTCGCACTGTTCGAACTGTCACCCGAGTTTGGGGCGCCTTGGCTGCGTGAGAAAAAGAAGGCGTCGTCAGCAGGCTGGCCCTGTGGGGTGGGGGTAGGGGGGTCTTGCCCCTCTCCACCGAGGCCTGCCACAGGCCTCCCCCGAGTCCCTGGGCTGAGGGAAGCGGCCAGACCTCCTGGGTTCAAATCCCAACTCCACTGCTCGCCAGCTGTCCATGCCTTGGGAGCAATGACTGAACGGCCCTGTACCTCTGTTTCCCCATCTGTGAAAGGGGGGTAACTCCGGATGGGAATGGTGGAAGGAATACATGACAGCATGCTGGCGAACATGGAGGGGAGTAGGTTACAGCTGAAGTTCTAGGTCAGCACCCCCGTGACATGCCCTTGATTCCCAGGCCCCTTGAACTCGGCCTGAACTTGGATCCTTTGACCAATAAAGGGAGGCAGAGTGGCGCTGTGCCAGTTCCAGGCAGGAGCCTTACAAAGGCCTGACAACCCCCACCTTTGCACTTTGGGGAGCCCTGTGCTACCCCATAAGATGTCTGGTTACTCTGCTGTGGAGGCCACATGACGAGGGGGAAAGAGGGGAAGGCCCCATCTGTCTCAGTTCAGCCTCCAGGTGACCGACTGCAGAACCGCCCTGCTGAGCCCTGCCAGCCCACAGACCAGGCAGAAAGAAATGGCTACGGTCCCCGCCACAAAGTTCGGAGTAAGGCGTGATCCTCGACCGACCGACCGACCGACCGGCCGGCCAGCTAGCCGGCCAGCCGGGCAGCAGCTGCTCTTATTCACTGCTCTCTTATTTCCTCTGCTTGATCTCCTATTGAGTTCTCCAGCCATGCCGGCAGCCCCCTGCAGCCCTGGGCTTTGGGCCAGAACCACACACACAGAGCCGGGCCTTTCCCACGCTGCACCTGTCCTCTGCCGGGCCTGCCACCCGGGGGAGCCGCACAGCGGGCGGCCGGAGCTGGCGCTGGGCCAGGCCACCTGGGCTCCAGGGGTTTGTGTTCTTTGGGAAAAACCATGCAAACGCTCTGGGCCTCAAGGTCCACGTCTTTACCATGGAGCCCCAGCAGCCCCGGCCCCCTGGGGGGAGGAGATAATGCGCGGAAAGAGCCAGAAACTCCTCGCGAGCACCTACCACGCACCTGGCTGTTTGTCCTCACGGAGGGCGTACGGATCTACATTTAACCGAGGAGGAAACTGAGGCAGGGGGCTGGGATTTCAGCCAGGGATCTGCCTCTCTGTCCATACGGTCACACCCTCACCTTGAGCTTGTGTTCACTGCTCAACCACTGAGCCACACTGGCCCCTCACGCCCTGGAGACGTCCGTGTTCTCCCCGGCCCATCCGGCTCTTTGGGGCCAACACCTGACCTCCCACGAGGCCGTCGCCCAGCTCTGCGATGCAGGGGCTCCGGCCTTTGCACCAGGGGAGCCACTGGAGGGTCTGGCGTGTCCCACCCAGAGGCCAGGCAGCCAGCAGGACCCGCCCGAAGTTGTCACACAGCTCAGAAGGGGCAAAGCCCAGGGGTCTGACACGGACCGCCATGTCCACGGCCACTCCACCAATCCCAGGCCAGCCCTGGACAGTGGCCAGGAGCACCATCCCACGGGGCCAGAATGCTACCCCTGAAATGGCATCACCTTATCTACATACTAACCGCGCGACACGGCCCCCAAGGAAACGGTTTGGAAAAACCACGTGTCACAAAGCATTGAAGAAAAAGACCCATTCTAAACGTAAAGAATAGACATTTTCCTGGGCAGCAAAGTCATTCTCCAGGTTAGCGCTATAAATAACGGACAATACGTCAGTTCGAAGCTGTCAGGTTATCGGCCTTCCCCGGGCATCCGGGCCTCGGCGTGGCTCGGAGAACAGAATGAAAAGGCTGAGCCGGCCCTGCCTTCAAGAGGCTTGTTAATGAGAAATAACGGTGGCCCCGTTCTGTCCCCTAATGAGAAAGTTCCTGAAAAGGGCCTGGCCAGAGTGGCTCAGTGGTTGAGCATCAATCCATGCGCCTAGAGGTCCCCAGTTCGATTCCTGGTCAGGGCACGTGCCTAGGTGGCAGGCTGGATTCCCAGTAGGGGGCGTACAGGAAGCTACTGATCCATATCTTGCTCTCACATTCATGTCTCTCTCTCTCTCTCTCTCTCTCTCAAATCAAAATTAAAAAATATATATATTTCTTAAATGTTATTGAAAAACAAAATTATCTTGAGTGATTTTTTTATGTTCTTCTAATTGCATTAACTTCATGATTCTCATTTGGTCCTTTCTGCAAACTCTTTAAAAATTTATTATTGTTTTTTGTTTTTGTTTTTTTGTTGTTTTGGTTTTTTTAGAGAGAGAAAGGAAGGGACAATGAGAGAGAAACATGGATATAAGAGCAAAACACTGATCCTCCTGTACGTCCCCAGAAGGACCTAGGATCGAACCTGCAACTGGGGCACGTGCCCTGACTGGAAATCAAACCAGCACCCTTCGGTGTATGGAATGACACCCAACCCACTGAGCCACACCCGCCAGGAACCTTCCTGCAAACGTCTGAGGGAGAAAAGGCAGCGGGATGTAGTCAGAGTTAAAATCTTTGTCCGCTGGCCTTGCCCCTGGGTCCTAATTCCCCCCTCAAGGCCACAGGAGTTAATCTGCTCTTTCATCCCCAGAATAAAGGGGTCAAATATCCGAAGACGATATGTGTGCATGGCGTCTTCCTTTCGTCCCGGCCCTGGTTCCCCCCCATTTCACGCTCTCATTCAACAACGTGGGGGGCCGGGGTATCAAATCTGGGATGGGCTCCTCTGCCCAGGGTGGTCCGGGCAGACCTCCAGGGGAAGGTGACTTTCTGAGCCGAGACCCCAAAGCAGAAAAGAACCAGGCTTGGGAAGAGCCGAGAGAAGAGAGTGCCAGGCTGACTGGGATGTGCAAAGGCCCTGAGGCAGACATGGATTTGGCCTCAAAAAAAGGCTGGGCTGGCTGGGGAGGCAAAGGAGAGGGGGGCTGGCTGGGAGCAAGGCCAGAGGGCCAACCAGGGGCTGTGTTCTCACGTAGGGCCTCATGGGCAGGGGAGGGATCTGGATTGTTCTCTGTGAGAGGGGAAGCTGTAGGTGCGTTTAACCAGAGCAGGCATGCCTGATCCAACCCCCCCCACTGGCAGCTGCCACGGGAGAGGGGGGCCAGAGGCAGACTCCGGACGGACAGTTACCTCGCTGCTCCTGGGAGCTCCCCGCGGTGCGGGCCGCGGGCCGTGCAGGAACCACCGTCTCGCACCTGCAGGCCAGGTGGTCCTCCAGCGTCACCGTGGCCTTGTTGAAGATCAGCCTCTTCTGCACCATCTCGATCTTCCTCACCTGGAGGGCAGAGTCACCGAGGCGCCTCGTGAGACCAGGGACGGGGGGCTGAGGGAGCCACCTGCCTGCTCCTCCCGGCCCGGCCTCCCCCAGGGGATCTTTCCTCGAAAGCCCGGAGCACTGAGAGCCGCAGGCCAGACCCTGTGGCCCGAACAATAGCGGGACCTTGGCCTCTGCCCTCCTCGCAGCTTTTCCATCAAAACAAGCCCTCGGCCTGGCCAGAGCCCCCTCGCACTCCGGAGAGGGGGAAAGGCATTTCCGGGTGCAGTGTGGGGCCACGGTGTCCTCATTCCTGGAGCGCCGGCCAAGGTCAGGGGCTGGGGCAGAGGCGGGGAGATGCTTGTCTGGAAGGAAGTGGGGGGAGGCTCTATCCAGGAGGGAGGCGGGAGGGGGAGGGCAGCTGTCAGGTGCCTGTCTTTAGGGCTGGACGCGGTGGGGACAGGAGATACCATGGCTGTGGACGGCGTGGGGGAGGGTGACACGTAATCCCAGGCGCGGGGCCCTGGCCTGTGGGGGGAGGTGGGCACGAGGAAGGGGAGGAGGCACGGTGGGGCCAGCAGAGTGTTTGGCAAGAGCCCGGTCCAGCCCAAGCTGGTGTGAGGGTGAGGCTGGCCCAGGGCTGCAGAAGCCGAGGCCCCCCTGACACTGCTCTGCCTGGCTGCGATCAGGAGCTCCCCAGCACAGGCTCCACCCTAAACCCCCTGGAGTCAGGGTGCAGCCAGCATTTCCAGGGAGGAGGCAGGAGTCCGCATTCAGACTCCTCATGGCTGCTCCCCTCGTGCAGCGCCCTCCTTAGTAATGACACAACTTGCCCCGGGAGGGGAGGGGGCCGGACAGATGCGGGGAGCCTTCCTCTCTGACATAAAGGAGCCCGCGGGGCCGGGGCAGGGGAGAGCTTTGGGGCAGTCTGAGCAGTTACCCAGAACATTCTGAGTGTCCAACATGCTTATAGGGCGCCTCTTCCAGAGACACTGGGGCTGTGTCCCTGTAAGGGACCAGGCAGCACCGCGACGTGACGCCCTACCCCGCCTGCCTGGGATCTGCCTGTGGCTGCGGGTCACAGCAGCTGGGCGGCCTCAGCACCGGGGTCCAGAGAGCTTTCTGAGAGCGCCCGCTCTGGACAGGCCGGCCCCAGTGGGCAGCGGCCAGCAGCTGGGCCAGTGCAGGGGGAGCTCACCTGGGCATGGAGCAGCTGCACCTGGGAGGGGGTAGGGCTAGTATGGGGGGGGGGTGTGGATCCAGTGCAGGGGGAGGGGCGCTCACCTGGACGTGCCGCAGCTGCACCTGGGTGGGGGTAGGGGTGGGGGGGTAGGGGGGGGTCCTCACCTGGACGTGCCGCAGCTGCACCTGGGTGGGGGTAGGGGGGTGCGGGGGGGCCCTCACCTGGACGTGCCGCAGCTGCACCTGGGTGGGGGTAGGGGTGCGGGGGGCCCTCACCTGGACGTGCCGCAGCTGCACCTGGGTGGGGGTAGGGGTGCGGGGGGCCCTCACCTGGACGTGCCGCAGCTGCACCTGGGTGGGGGTAGGGGTGTGGGGGGCCCTCACCTGGACGTGCCGCAGCTGCACCTGGGTGGGGGTGGGGGTGGGGTGCGGGGGGCCCTCACCTGGACGTGCCGCAGCTGCACCTGGGTGGGCCGGCACTGCACGCGGTGGTTGTTGCAGCAGCCTGAGCAGCGCTGCACCTCCACGCAGGGCGGCCACACCAGGTAGTTGGCGTTGCTGCGGTCGATGAGGCTGCGGGAGATCTTGAACACCTCTGTGCGGACCTTGCACTCGGCGATCACGGCTGGCTCGGCGGCCGTGGAAGAGTCTGACGGGAGAGGGGCCTCTGTCAGGAGGGAGGGCCGGCCCAGGGCCCCCACCGGGCAGGAGAGCGCTCCTGGGACTGCCCTCTTGCTAAATGGCCACCCAGGCCCCTCTCCCCCCGCCTCAGGGGAGGCTCCGAGTCCTGGCGCCATGTGCTCTCGCTCAGTCCCCCCCATTTCCCCCCCACACCCCGTGCCCTGGGGTAACTTAAGCTCAAGGACCATTGTCAGGACCAGTGCGATCACCATGTGGTGACCGTCAGACGCCTCCCGCCAGCCCTCCCTCGTTTCCCTCTGCGGTTTCACCTCCCGTGGTTTGTCCCGATGTGGCCTCCCTTGCTGCGTGTTATCTGCGATCCCCTTACTCGGCTGTTTTGCGCTGTCACCTTTCCTGACCTCATGGCTTCTTCCGAAGCCACCGTTTCCCTGTCTATGAAATGGGCCGATGCCGGCGCCTGCCCTGCGCCTGCAGACCCGGGAGCGGCCGGAGGACCCCTGCCCACGGCACGCGGGGTCAGTGCTGGGCTGGTCACCGCACAGACAGGGACCCCGAGGCTCGGAGGGGACCCGGCCACCGGCTCCTACACGGAGGCCCCGGCGCCATCCACGGCACTGGGGGGGCCGAGAGGAGGCGGGGCTCGGATGGGCCTTGCTTCGCGGGGAAGGCTCCCACAGAACCTGGGGATCTGCATGGCCCTTCGGGCTCGGCAGTGGGGCGGGAAGCGGTCCCAGGCTCTGCTCCAGGCCTGCGGTCCCAGCCACAGCCTTAGTCACAGGCAGCGGGGAGGGCGAAGGTTCTGCCGAGAGGCCCGTCAGCTGCGAGGCCACGCCCCCGTCTTTCCCTTCCTGGGCTCCAGTGTCCAGCTCCATAAAACAGGGTTAGTAATGTCTAATTCTGGGGCCGAAGCAACAAAAAGTAAGTTTAAACGCATTCTATTTAGGAAGCAGTGTGTGTGTGGGGGGTGGGGGGGGGCCGCGGGAGTCCATGACGACTCAGCTCAGCACAAGCTATTTAAGGATGTTATTGTCCCTGAGCTCAATCCGGTCCTGGGTGCGGGGTGAACGGGGTTGGCCCTCAGGGCCTTGACCAGGGTCCTGCTTCCCTGGCTCCCACTGTGGCGGGGACCCCACGTCCACCCCGGTCTTACCAAGGCTCCTTCTCCCTCGGGCCAGGCTCTCCGGCTCGCCTCCAGAGTGGGACCGGGTCAGATTCCGGTCCAGGTCGGCTCCGTCCTCATCTGTAAGAGCGGGACAGTCAGACGCTCTCCAATCCCTGCTGGCTGGCCCGCCCGCAGGGAGGGGCCCCGTGACCCCAAGTCCTGGCTCTGAGGATCAAACCCCAGGTGACGAGGGGCTCAGGAGGGGCAGGGCCCTGGCTGTGTCCTCTGGGGGGGGCCTCGGCCCCACTCTGGGCTCCTCAGTCACATTTCTGGACAGAAACGCGTGTGAATGGAGTTAAAAATAGCTCTTCCCCTCCGCTCCTGTAAGCGAGCCTGCCTCGGCCTCCCTCCCGGGCAGGGCAGAGGCCCAGAGCCCCGGAGGCCACTCTCCGTGCCCCTCCGCCCCGCGTTCCCATAGGAAGCGCTGAATGGAGAAATTCCCAGAATCCCCAGGGGGAGCCGCATGCCCGGGACACAGCCCCTCTGGAGCCCCTGACAATGGCCCGGTTGGGCGGGAGAGAGGAGGGAAGGAGGGAGGGAGAGGGATGGGGGTGGGGGCTGAAGGCGGAGGGGTGGGGTGCGGGGGGCCACTGGGATCAGGGAGCCTCGCCCAGCGCCTTCCAGATCTTGCTCTCTCTCCACCTCCCGGGCTCCCATTGTGACTCTGTCTTTCCCCCTCTGACCTTCTGCCTCGTGTCCGCCCTACGCTGTCCATTCATTCATTTCTAAGGGCACAGCCACCCGGCAGCCCCCTGCTCTGGCCTGGGAAGCCCTCAGCTCAGCGCCACCCCCACCCCAAGGAGACATCCCTCCCTCCGCTGCTGGAGGCCAGGGCTGGGCAGGGGGGCGGGGCCTTGGTGCGGACAGCGGGCAAACTCCCGCTAAATAAGCAGCGGTCGGTCGGGGACCAGCCCCTGACCCTCCACACGGCGGCGCCTCAGGCTCCCAGGGTCTCCCATCCCACTGGCCCGGCTCCCAAGGGGTCCTGTGGGGAGGAGGCAGCCCCGGGACTGGGGCGCCTCCCCCAGCCACGGTCCCACGTCAGCCTGTCTGGGCCTTCCGCCCCCGCCCGCCCGCCCTGCATCTCGGGAATGCCCCTGGTGGGGAGGAGAAGGGGAAAAGATGTGCTTTGTGGAAAGGTTGCGTTGATTAGGAAAAAATAGCCACATGGTTGCCTCAACACAGGCCTGCTATTGAAAACCCCATCTCCCCGGCCCGACCCCCACCGGGGTGTGGAGGGGCTGCCGAGGGTGGGGGCGAGGCCCTTGGAAAGAAACAGCAGAAAGGCTAAATTTGGAAGTTGCCCCATTGTGTTGGCCAGGGCTGGCCGGCCTGGCACGGGGTGGGGGTGTGGGAGACGCTGGGTGGGGGGGCCTGGCGAACAATAGGTGGGCCCAGCTGGGGCCCCCTCCCTCGGCCTCCCCAGCCCTCAGCGCGGGAGGGTTTGAAAGGGCCCGGGAATGCTTTTGAGAGGGAGCCAGGGGCCCAACGGGGAGAGGAAACAAAGGCAGGAAATGCTGTCCCCCGTAGATAGCAGTCTGGGCAAGGATTACAAAGTGACAAAGAGACAAAAACCCCAGAGGGAAGGGGAGCTGGGGGTGCAGGGGGGGTGGGGGGAGGCGATGACCAGGGCTCCAGGGAACGGGCCAGAGGTTAGAATAGAATGGAATTCGCTCTGAAGACAAGCGTTTATAAATACATTCCCCACCCAGGCCGCCGGCCCTGCCACGTGTGTGCCACCGAGCACGTGCCCGCCCGAGGAGTGTGCTCTCGGGCACGGGCAGGGCTGCCCGCTGGTCTGGGCCAGGTGTCCCCGGGAGACCTCGCAGCGCTGGCCGCCGGCCAGAGGGGCCGGGAGCCGGCTCTCCCCACGCCACCCTCCCCGGCGGCGGAGGTCACACCTGGACACCCATTGGGCAGGTGCCCCGGGCACCTCCTCCCTGGCCGCCCCGCCCCCTCCGGGCGCCCCACCCTCCGCACCCAGCCAGACACGTGTGGGTGCTCCTCCCGCCACGCCCCACATCAGCCCAGGTCCCGACCCGTCTGCCTCCTCAGCCCTGCCCCAGACAGGTGTGGCCCGGCCCTCCCGGGCCCCACAGACGCCGGGGAGGGACGGCCCTGGCCCTGGCCCTGCCCCTCCCGCTCCCGGGACCAGGGAGGCCCAGAGCGGCGGAGGTGCCATTACCTACGGAGTCTCCGTGCAGCAGCCGCTGGAGGTCATCGAAGGAGCGGATGGAGTGGTCGCTCAGCATCTCGTAGAGTTCCTCAGGAATGGGGTCCCCCTGCCGGGCACACACACACGGGATCGGGTGAGCCGGGAGGTAGGGCTTTCCCGCCACGGCCCTCTGGTCCCTCACACAGACACAGCCTCCCACGAAAAGTTCCCACAGGGCCCCTCGGCCACGGACGGGCGAACAGCCGGGCTGGGGTGGGCAGGAGGCGGATCCCAGGCCTGACAACCGGGAGCAGAACCCGCCAAAGCCTGTAGAGACCCAGCACGGACGCCTCATTCCCCCTCCCCCCGCAAATAGGAGCCCCGGCTTGCTCGGAGTTCGGTTTGATTGGGCCCATCCTCCTCCTCCATCACGCCATCGGCCCCGGAAGGCTCCCCAGTCTGTTTGCTTCGCGTCCACACCCGACAGTTAACGCCAGCCGGCGTGTGTCTTGGGGGAGCTCATCATCCCCATTTCACAGATGAGAAAACAGAGGCTCAAGGACGCAGCACCCTTTGTCCGGGCCCTAAGCCCGTCATCAGCAGGACCTGCATTCAAACCCCAGTCTTTCCAGCGGCAGAGCCTGGACCCCAGCCTCCTCCGGGGAACTCGGGTGTTTAATAAATACAAGGGCCGATGGCCTCGGAGGCTGCAGGGCTAACGGTATTTATTCAGCCTCTCCCTGCGAGGAGGGCAGGGAAGCCGCCTCCGACGCCAGGAAACCTGAAAGCTTACCCGTGCCCCGTGCCCAGCCAAACCCTATTTTTAGCGCCCCTCTGGCCTCGGCCCAGAAACACTCGACACTTAATAAGCACTTTACCAGGCCCCACTCGGAGCCGGGCTTCCTCAGGGAAACCACAGGTCCCACAATGACACGAGGGAGCCCACAGCCCTCACTCAGGCCAGGCGTCCCGAGGGCCGGGGCCGAGGTCCTGAGAAAGAGCGAGGGCAGCGGAGAGACACAGAGGCACAATCCCGACACCCACCGCCGCCTGCAGGCACAGAAAACGCCCGTGGTGTGGCTGCACACCCGCACTCACACCCGTGTGCACACCAGCCGGTGGGCGCGCACACACACACACACACCCGCACTCACACCCATGTGCACATCAGCCGGTGCACTTACACACACACACCCGCACTCACACCCGTGTGCACACCAGCCGGTGCACACACACACACACACACACACACACACACACACACCCGTGTGCACACCAGCCAGTGTACACACACACACACACACACTCACACCCGTGTGCACGTCGGCCGGTGCACGCGCGCACACACACACACACACACACACACACACTCACACACAAGGGCGGCACTGCCTCCTGGAAGGAGCCGGGGAGGGTGTCAGCTGGCTCGCCCTGCTCTGTGCCTCGGTTTCCCAGGATTGAGAAGGGAGGAGCTCCTGTCCTAGTCCCTGAACACGCCGCGGCCTCGAGCCCGGGAGGCTCCGCGCAGGCGCCTCCCCTCACTGCCCAGCGGAGACCCGGGGTCATCGCGCCTGCAGGCCAGCCCAGGGGGTTCCCCCCAAAAGCCCTGGGAGCAGCCTGGCGATGGAGCGATCGTTTCCAGCCGCTGACACAGCTCCCTCTAGACGCCCCTCCTGGGCTTGGCCTCCAGGTTTCCCCGTGTGCAGCTTAGGACACCCAGGTCGCCTTCCTTGAAACCCCTGAGCCCAGGTTCTTCATTGGACCGAGGAGCTTTTCCTCTGGCTGGAGGCCAGGACAGTCAGGAGCTGCCGGGAGGGAAGGGGGGGGGGGGGCGAGCGGTAAGTCTGGCTGGAAATTAGGGTCTTTCCTTCAGGGTGCAGCCGGGAGCCAGGGCTGCATGTGTGACGAGGGGAAGTGCAGCTCAGCGGCCCCTCGGTTCTTCCCTCCCTCCCCCCCCCCAGGCGCTGCCTCCTCCAACCAGGGGCAGAGGGCACACCGATGGCGGTCTCCGAATGTGGGCTCAGGACCCGGCCCGAGGAGAGGCGGGCGGCGGGTCTCCAATTAAGGCCAAGGCAGGCCGCCTTCCGGGGGGTCCTGCCACCCCCAGAGCCGGTGGCCCGGGAGCTGGAGTCCACCCTCTACTGCTACCAGCCACCAGGGACCTCAGGCTGGTCTCTGCCCCTCTCAGTCCCCGGATCTCACCTGTGAATTGAGGGGGCTGAGGACACTGAATTTGATTCTAACTGTGCCCAGGGGTAGGAGCAGAGACAGCAGCGCAAAGCCAAGGCTGTCTGTGGAGCAATGACGACTCCGTTAGCCCCCAGAAGAGGGGCTGGAAGGCCCAGGACCAAATGGCACGTAACGCTCAGGCCAAGACCGCTGGCCACTGGAGAGCTGGCTGCAGCTGCCAGCCGTGGCTGAGGAGGGAGACCCCCCATCAGGCCCAGCAGGGCCTGGGCCTGCCCTACGATGCACAGGAGACGTCTTATGGAAACGAATCCAGAATCCCTCCCACCCCACCCCCACCCCCGCCCCAGGCTGCCTGGGAGAGAACCCAGGATAGGGACTCGGGAGAAGCACTCAGTAGGTGCTCAAAAAATGCGGGTAAACTGCATGGAGGACTCTCCCCTTCTCCCTGGGACTCTCTCCTGGACGATTCTCCCACCTCCTCCACCAGGAGGCCCACCGGGGATAGTCTCCCCACCCCCACCCCCACCCCCATGCAAACTGCCTCCAGCAGAGTCCACTTCACTCTAAGCAGAGGTCCTTCTGTTCCTGCTCCCGCTGACTCGGCCACGGGGCGCCCAGAACTCAGTACAAGCACCTGGATATGACCAGCCAGGCGACAGGGTGCACGGCCACTCCCAAGAGGCGGGCGCTATTTTTATCCCTATCCTCCCGATGAGGAAGCTGAGGGTTAGAAAAAGCAAGCCCAGGGCTCCAGGTCAACAAGGCGAGCAGCAGCAGCGCGGGGCCCTCCCTCTTCCGGGCTGCCCGGCACTCTGCAGCACCGCTTCCAGTGCATGTCACGGGGCCGAGCGTGTCACCTCAGGGCGAGGGGCCCCGGGGACACGGGTGTGCCCATAGGCGTGTGTGGTTGTCACAGCTACGGGCATCTAGAAGGTGGAGGCCGGCCGATGCTGCTAAACACCCTACTATGCACAGCACAGCCTCCCGCAGGGAAGAGCTGTCTGGCCCGGAGTGCCAACAGCGCAGACGCAAGAGCAAAGGGAACCTGGATTCTTGGAATTAAGTCTTTTCACAACCTAAGCCCTCGGCTTTTTCATCTTTTAAGTGGGGCTAAGAATACTTCACTAGGGTTACGGGGCGGCCTCGTTGCACCCAGCAGAGCAGCCAGCAAGGAATGGGGGTGGGCTCCTCGGAGGGCAGCAGCCAGGGCATTTTTGAGGACGACAATGGGTCGGTGGAGAGCGTGTGGCTTTGCACTCTCCCCGCGCTGGCCCACAGGAAGTGACACCCTGGCCCACAATGGCGGGGTGGGCTGGTGGGCGGGCGGTAGGTGAAGGGTGACAGCGGTCAGCCGCAGGAGGCAGAGCTCCGGGCACCTGCGGAGGCCAGAGGTCCCTCTTGGTGTGGGAGGGTGAGCACGGGATCGGGATCGGTTCCAGAAACCTCCGTAGGTGGGCAGCTCCCCCTCGGAGCCCGGAAAGGAGGCCGGGCACCCGGGGAAGCTGCCCCAGATCTCAGGCCGGGGGTTCCTGGCAGGGTGAGGGCGTGGCGAGGAGGCAGCTGGGGCACCGCCAGCCGTGCAGCCAAGGCAAACAGCCTGCGCCCCGCCCCACCCCCAGCGCCAGCTGCAGAAGGTGGGAAGGGCACCAGCCAGCGTGAGGCGAGAAGAATTACCTGCTCCCAACAAGGCTGGCAGATCAAAGGGGCCTGGACCCCACCCTCCACCTGGGCCCCGGCGCGCGCGCACACACACACACACACACACACACACACACACACGGATACACTCTCCCCAGCCCTCCTGCCCGTCAGCGGAGGGAGACGCGCAGGCCAGGCCCACACACCCAGGGGCGTTGTCTGAGGCTGGCAGGGGAGAGTGGAGCAGGCCTCCGAGCGCCTGCCTGCCTGCCTGCTCTCGGGCCTAACTTAGATTCAATGCCAAAGCCAAGCCCTTTGAAGAAGCCTCCTCTGGGCAGAGCACAGAAGCCATTTAGAACCAGCCATCCCACCTACCACTTCCCTTCCCTATGGCTCCGGGGACCCTCCCCCGGCCCCAACCCTCCTTAATGTGAGTGCAGCTCCCACTGGGCTGCCCACCGCTCCCTGCAGCGGCAGAACTGTGAGCACAGAAAGAGAGGGGCCAGGGCAGCAGTCTAATCCTGGCAGCCCCGTGCTGCCCTCACCCCCACCCCCCAGGCATTCACTGCCCGCCTGCCCCCCACCTCTGTCCCAACTTCCAGCCCAGGGCGGGGCCCAGGGCTCTGCTTTTGCAGGAGGGCTGCGAGCTCTGCTCTTGAGGAACTCTGAGCCAATCCCATCTTCTCCGGTTTTTAGGTGGCGGGGACTGAGGCCAGCTCAGGATACACAGAACCTCTGCAATCTGATGTTCCTGCTGTTCCTGTCCTGTCCCGTCTTGGCAGCCCAAGTCCCAAGACACGGAAAAGAAAGGCGCGCTTGTCCTCAGGATGGGGGGCGGAGGGGGGCCGGGAGCACTCGAATGAGGAAGCTGGCGGAGGGCAGTGGCGGGCGGGCGGGCTGCCCCGGGATGAGGCCTGAGTGAGGCCGTGCTTACAGAGCACTCAGCAAGCACGTACCTGGCCCCCTCCCCTCCCGGGTTCATTGTCTTTTCCGCACATATTTACAGATTGTCCGTCATGAACCGGTCACAGGCCAGTAAGCATGGGAGACAGGGGTTACCAAGACAAAGGCTCTCCAGTGGAGCTTATCCTCCAGTGAGGGAAAGCAGGCGATAAACAACTAAATATATAAACCAGCAAATGGAAAAAGCTGTCCATTTCCATGGGGGCTGAGGCCTAAGGCAAACACTTCTTTGCCACTCCTGCTGAGTGGATCCTCTCTCTCTTGCTCTTTCACACACACACACACACACACACACACACACACATCCTTACGTCTTGCACCAGAGCCTCCAAATTCTGTTTGCTCCTAACCTTGCTGACACTCCCAGGGCAGGGAGATTCTAGCAGGTTCATCTCCCATCACCAAAGGCATTAGCACACCGGATGGGAACTGGGCAGCGCAGGGCAGAAGGGTGCTGAGGCCAGAGGCATCACATGACAGCAGGAGTCACCCACCCCAGAAACCAGCCCAGCTGCTGGAGACGGGACCTCCCAGGCCTCAGCCCACCCCCAACCCTGCCGGACCCTGCCTCAGACTCCCCCGCCCTCCTGCCCAGCTGCCCAGGCCTCCACCTGAGGCTCAGTCCATATGAGTGTGAGACACAGCCAACCAACCCCAAGGCCACGTCCATCAGCGAGCTGTCCAGGAGGTGCCTTGCTGAACTGGCCCCGCCTTTCAGAGGTCTTCCCTTCCAGGCTCTTCTCCCAGAGCCGCCCTGAGGCTTGCTCAGGCTTCACGGGAAAGTGCTCAGTGCACTGCAAAGCACCACACAGCAGTGTGTGCAGGGAAGCAATGATTAACGAGGGGGGAGGCACCGGCTTCTGCGCCAGAGCCTCCCTGCCAAGCACACATGCCCGTGGAGCTGTGGGGAAGGAGGAGGCGGTGCTGGGTGAAGCTGGGAATGGTGGTAAGGGCAGGCCTGGGAAATCCTCGGCTGCTCCCCAGCCTGTGCTGAGCATGCTGGGATCAGCAGAGAGGACGGACGAGCACATCCCCACTTGCAGACACACGGGAGGGAGCGAGCGGCTGAGAAAGAGCAATCGCTGGAAGAATAATGCTTGCAGGGCGTGCAGCTGACCTTCCCCGGCAGCAGAGAACATGGGTGCTGCGGGGCCCGGGCTGATGGGAGGGTCCCCGCGCCCCTCCCTCGCGGCGCCCAGGGAGGAACGGGAGTGCCTGCAGAGGCAGGGCGGGGAGGGGCCACCTGTGGCGCGGGGCTGTGCGTGCTGGGTGTGTGCGTGCGTGTGCTCAGGCCGCGGGTGCGGGGTGTGCGGGGCGCGCGCGTGTGCCCGCGTGTGCCCGGGCGTGGCGGCGGCGCGCGCCCTGGCCGCACAGTGCGTGCCCGGCCCGCCCCGCGCGCCGCCCGCCGCGGGCGCAGCATCGCCTCGGGCCGGAGTGTGTGCGTGCGGTGAGTGAGCGCGGGGCCGCGCGGGGCGGGCTGCGGAGCGGAGCGCGGGGCCGCCGCTCCCAGGGCGCCTGGCCCCGGCCCAGCCCCGGCCCCGAGGCAGGCGGCAGCTGGGGCCGGCCGGCGCCCCCTCCCCGCAGCTGGCCACCGGCGGGGGCTCCGGGGAGCGGAGAGGAGAGGAGGGGAGGGGAGGGGCGCCGGGAGGGGCCTGCGGGCCGCCGCGCCGAGGCCCGCGTCCTCTCCGGTGCGGGGTGCGGGCCGCGGGGGGCGCCGCGGAAGGGCGGGGCCGGGGCGGCCGGCCGGCGGCCCTCCGGGAGCCCCGAGAACAAAAGGAGAGGCGGCCGCTCCTCCGCGGTCAAAACAACCTGCGCTGGCGGCTGCCCAAGGCCCGGCGCGGCCCGGAGCCCGGCCTTAACCCCTCCGCCGCCGCCTTCCAGCCCGGGGAGGCCGAGCGGGGCCCGCCCTCCCGGGACAGGCGGCGTGCGGGCTCCGGGCCCCCGCGGGGCAGAGGCGGGGCCGGACCGGGCGCCGCGCTCCCCGCAGCCCGCTCCCCCGCACCGCGCGCCTCCGCCCGCCCCGCCCCTTTCCCACCTGGAATCCGGGTGCGTTCGCCAGCTCCCGGCTACGTGAGGCCCGGAGGGGGGGACGGATCCGGCCCGACAGCTCCGCCGGGCGGGGAAGGGGCGGTCACACCCCGCGTCCCCCGCAGCCCGGCTTTCCCGGCGGCCGCGGCGAGCCCTGCGCGCGGGGAGAGGGCGCAGGTCCTGCGGGGCCGCGGGCACCCGCCGCTCCGGGGCCGGATTCCTCCGGAGCCCCACTCCCCCCTCCTCGGCTGCCCGAAACCCGTCTTTCCCCCACCTTCCTCCCTCCCGGCCCCAGACACGGGCTGCTCCGGACCGCGCTCCGGAGCCGCGGCGGGACGCACACCGCTGTCGGAGGCTGGCGTGGCGGCCACCCCGTGTGCGGCAGGCAGCTCGCACCTCCCGCAGGCCAGGTCCCCCGGAACCCCAGCTGGGAGCCAAGCGGGCTCAGGGGTGCCCTCTGCACCCCGGCGCCACCCCACCCTCCCCATTCGGCGGGGAAGGGGCCGCACACCCCTTTCCCCGCGCTGAACGGCGGGGGGACCTGGGGCCTCCCCGGGAAAGCAGGCCCCCTCTGCCCCCTCCTCCGAGCGCCTGGCACCGCCCGGACCTCGGGTCTCGGCCCTCGGAGGTCACCCAGCGCCCGGTGCCAGACACCTGGGCTGCAAGGGTGCAAAGTTCCCTGCAGGGAGGGAGGGGAGAAGGCGGCCGGGGGCGGGGGCGGGTGGGGGTAATGAATGGAGGGAGCCAGCCCCACCGCCGTCGCACTCACCTCGGCGCCGGCCAGCCGCAGGTAGCAGCAGAGAGACAGGAGGAGCGCCCAGCAGCGCTTCATGCCGACTCCGGGCCCGGCCCCGCGGCCCCCGCGGCCAGGGCGCAGGGCGGGGGCTGCGGAGGGCGGGGGGCTCGGCTGGAGGCCGCGGCGATCAGGCGCTCAGGCCGCTGCAGCCGCGGGCGCGGCTCTCCCGCATGGCCCCCGGGCGCCGCCGCCCCCGGCTCCGTTGTTGGGGGGCTGCGGAGAGCCTGGGCGCAGGACCAGGGTCCGAGGCCGCTACCTGGGCGGATCCCGGGCCCCAGCGAGCATCCACCGCCGCCGGGGGGCTGCGTGGCGAACCGGCCGGGGCGTCTAGCCGTGCGGGGGCGCCTCGGGGGCTCCAACCTCCAGGAGGACCGGGAACGCGGCGGCCAGCCGGTGGCTCGTCTTCTCGCTCCTTCTGCTGGCTGACGGCGTCTCCCTCTGCCCGCCGCCTTAGCTCTTCTGCCACATTTTCCGGGAAGGGCCCCCCGACGTCGGAAAGCTGGAGCCGGGCACCCCAAAGCCAAAGTCACCCCCAAAAAACTTTTCCCGAAGTTGGCTTTGCAGCGGCGGCCGGCGCACCCAGGCAGCGAGAGGTGCAAACTCTCTCCCGGGCCGGCTGGGGTGGCGGTGGGGGGGCCGGAGCGCGGGGCCGGGGCAGGCGGGCGGGCGGGCGGGCGGCGGGCTCGGCTGCTCTGCTCGGACGCGGGTGCCCGCCGAGCTCCGGGCCGGGCCCAGCAGCAGACAGGTGGACGCGGGCGAGTCTGCCGGTCAGTCCGCTGGCCGCTCTGGGCGTCCTCCTGCGGACTGCAGGCTGCGGCGGCTCCGGCTTCCTCTTTGCAGTGAGGCTGGAGCGTGGGCTTCTATTCCCCCGTCTTGCGTGTGTGTGTGTGTGTGTGTGTGTGTGTGTGCAAAATATCTCCACCTCGGGGATGAAAGATGGGCGCTGGCGGCCGAAGGAGAGGCCGTGGGGGTCGGCGGGCGGCGGGCTGCGGGCAGCGGGCTGCAGGGAGGCAGGCGGGCTGCTCCCGGCGGCGGCGGCGGCAGGAGAAGTTGCCACCCTTCAGCTGTTCTGGCTTTTATATAAAGATGGGAGAGGTGGGTGGAGACAGCCTTTCCTCTTCTGGCTGAGAGTCAGCACAGGGAGGGAAGGGGGGGTGGCAGGAGCTTGGGAGGGCCAGAGGCACGGGTGGGGCGTTGAGGGGTCTCCCAAGGCCCAGCAGCCCCTCTGCCCAGGAGTCTGGCCCCGGGAAAGGGAGAGCTGGAGCCGAAGAGCCCTCGGCACAGTGGGGGTAACCTGGTTTCGCGTGGTTGGGGAGATGTGGCCTGAGCTGCAGCCCCGAGTCTGAACAGACGTTTGCGGGGGGGAGGGGCTCTTCTTCCCCCCCCCACCCCCGCACAGGCCTGGAGGGGGAGGGGGAGGGCGCTGCATCTCGGTTCAGATCCTGCTCTGGCTGGGAGTTGCTGGGTGGGTGACCTTGGGCAAGTCATTTCCTTTCTGTGCTCCTCCATCCGGCCTCAGAGCGGGAGAGGGTGATGGTGAGGGCTCGGTGCATGCAGCACCCAGCTCCACGCCAGCCAGCCCCAAGGTGGTCGCACAAACCCCACGGCCAGTGCCATTCAGCCGGAGGCTGGGCTCAGCGCTCCTCCTAGCTGGTTGCCTGGCATATAGCAGGCGAGGCTGGCATTGGCTGCGTTTGAATTTGTTGAACTGCAGACTCCCACCAGCCTGCAGCCTCCCAGTCGCCCCGATGTTTACCACCTCCCGCAGCCCCCCGTCTTGAGGCCCAGGGCCCACCGCCCGCAGCAGCACCCACACAGCGAACACCTCCCACCCCAGCCCTGGGAGCCGCCGTGTCCCTGTCTTCAGCGTCACACGGTCCCAGTCACACGCACTCCCGCTGAGCCCAGCACCCAGCGGCGGCACCACGTCCCCCTGCTCCCGGCTTCAGGAGGCTCCATCAGTCCCCGGGCCTGACTCTCCTCTGGCCTTTCTTCCCAAACAATGGCAGCCTGGTCCTCGCTCACATCCACCCCTTCCCCCATGGAGACAAACACACCGTCTTCTCTTCACAAACCTTCTCCTCGGAGGACTTCTCCGGAGGGCCTGTGCAGACAGCCACGCAGAGGGGTCTGGAGGCTCAGACACCGTAATCCACGGGGAAGCACCGCGCAGCTGCCTGGCGCATAGTGGGCGTCTTTCCTTCACGCAGCTTCCCAAGTCTCCTGGTGGCCGGGTGTGTTCCAGGCACGAGGTTCCAGCCCCGGAGGACCCCGTCCAGAGGACAGACAGATGCATGAAGAGATAAACTAGGAGACAGAGTGACAAGGGAAATGGGGGTTGGTGGGGGGGGGAGGATAACCCCAAACTCAAGGTTTGACATTTAAAGACTTAAGAGATTAAAACTGTTCCCCTGGATAGCTAGGTGGTTTTGACCTTGACTTTCTATATCCTCATCTGTAACGGGATGATAATACCTACCATTATTAAGATTTTTAAAATACATTTTTTAGCCGAAACCGGTTTGGCTCAATGGATAGAGCGTCGGCTTGGGGACTGAAGGGTCCCAGGTTCGATTCCGGTCAAGGGCATGTACCTTGGTTGCGGGCACATCCCCAGTAGGGGGTGTGCAAGAGGCAGCTGATCCATGACTCTCTCTCATCGATGTTTCTAACTCTCTATCCCTCTCCCTTCCTCTCTGTACAAAATCAATAAAATATATATATTCTTAAAAATACATTTTTTACGTATTTCAGAGAGTAAGGAAGAGAGAGAGAAACATCAATGCTAAGAGAATCATTGATCAGCTGCCTCCTGCACGCCCCACACTGGGGGGCTGAGTCCACAACCCAGGCATGTGCCCTGACTGGGAATCAAAATTGTGACCTCCTGGTTCATAGGTTGACACTCAACCACTGAGCCACGCCAGCCATTATTATTACATTATTATTGAGGTGACCATGTGGTGGGTAGTGTTCCTACTCCGTGTGCAGCCTCTCGGTGCTCTATGAGGTACATCACTCTTGTCTAACAGATGGAGACATGGAAGCACAGAGAGGGTAAGCCACTTGCTCAGGGTCACACAGCCACGCAGTCCAGCTGCAGAAGCCCACATACCTAAACCACAGTGACGTGCCGCCTCCTGGCAGGTGGTGGTGATGATGGCAGTAATGACACTTTTTGCACAGGGCTTGTATAAGCACCAAACACACTGATGTATGGAAAAACACGTAGCAACTTAAACTCTTGAGGGTGCACACAGCTCAGCCTCCGGGGAAAGGCAAAAAGGAGAGGACTCCTGGGCACAGCATCGCTGAGCACCTACTGTGTGCAGGCCCTGTGAGCACCTGCTGTGTGCAGGCCCTGTGAGCACCTGCTGTGTGCAGGCCCTGTGAGCACCTGCTGTGTGCAGGCCCTGTGAGCACCTGCTGTGTGCAGGCCCTGTGAGCACCTGCTGTGTGCAGGCCCTGTGAGCACCTGCTGTGTGCAGGCCCTGTGAGCACCTGCTGTGTGCAGGCCCTGTGTGCAGCGACGGGAAATGGCACGAGGAAGGACATTGGTCCTGGCATCTGGGCCCTCCAGGCTCCTGCGTGAGATGGACACAGATCATCACAATCCAGGTGTCCCCGCACGGTTAGAAGTGACAGAACGGGGACCACAGCGGCGCAGGGACCATGGCCCAAGACTGACTGCTGTGCTAAGGCGAACCCCGCTCCTGGACCCCCTCCTGTGGACACCCTGTCCGTGTGTGGGTCTTCCCATACACGCACTTCTCTAAGGAACACCGCCCTCACCCCGTCGAGCTCAGCTCAGTCTGCACCTCCTCCGGGAAGCCCCCACCCCAGCGTAGGGCTTGCTCTGGGTTCCCGTAGCGTGCCACCATGGCCCTGTCCTTGCCCGGGCGTCGGCCTCGCCCTGGACTGCGCTCCCGGTGAGCTAGGCCTGCTGCAGCTCCCAGCTCCCAGTCGCTGCGTATAGATGTCTGCTGTGGAAGAATAAACAAGGAAGCACCTTCCCTGTTTCTCTTTCCGGGTCCTGGCCTGTTGGTGCAACGATGTCATACCCTGCCTGAGTTGTGGGGAGAGGGGAGGAGGGGCTTGAGCCTCTGAAGTTGGAAGCAAAGGACGCCACGGGGGCACTGGGGCCACTGAGGAGTCAGACTTTCAGCAGGGCCGGGAGCGGGCCTCTGTGGGCAGGGGTCTCTGAGTACCCCATAACTCACCCCTCCGGTCCCCTGGCAGGTCTGAACCGAGTTTGGAAAATGGAGTGGTCCCAGCCCCCAGCCAGGTGCTGGGGTCGGGGGGCTGCCCAGGGGAGGGGTGTTTAGAGCAGTCCATGCACACCCTCCTCCGGTACAAACCACCTCACACCTCAGGGCGAGGACCCAGGGCCGAGGGAGGAGTGGCTTCCATCCCAAGGGCAGATGCACGTCCAGAGGGCGGGAATGCTGGGTACCAGGTGCCCCCATCCTGCCAAGGGGGCCTGGCAGCACCCATGCCAGGCAGGTGCGCCGTTCCCGGCTGGATGGAGAAGGACATGGAGCTCCGCGTTGGGGACAGCCAAGGCCATGCCCAAAGGGCCAGAGACCCCAGCCCCAGGCTCTGTGGGGGCAGCGGGCGTTCTCTGTGCCGGGGAGCGCAGTCTGCTCCCCCAGCCGGCCGGCTCCCCCATCCCAGGCGCCTCCCTGTCCGCACAGCTCCGCCCTGCTGCACCCTCACAGGCTCCAGCGAGCGAGGCATGCCTTCATACGTGCTCATTTTACAGATGGGGAAACTGAGGCTCGGAGAGGGGGTATGGGATCAGGCTTCCTGTCAAAGACTGCCTGGGTTCAAAGCACCCCCCCCCCTCCATCTTGACCATGTACTGGCTCGGGGCCTTGAGCAAAGCACTCCCTCTTTCTGAGCCTCAGTTTGCTCCTTGTTGGATTTGGGGAACCGTGGTGGTTACCGCGTGGAGTCCCATCAGTTATTGCATCCTGATTGCGGGAAGCAGGACTAAGCAATCTGTAAATGCTGGCTATCAGGATGATCATGATCAT